AAAATAAAAAATGTTTTAAATTTTAAATAGATTACGAAACTATTCTCAAAATAAATTATTTTAGTACTAACTATGGTTGAACAATCTGTCCAATCCAAATAATTTGGTCCAAAATAAATTTAATGCCTAGACCAAAGTTCTTATCCACGAATTAGGCTGAGCAATAAAATGGTTTGACATAATTTCAAACAAAAAATTGAGTGAAAAAATCAAAACTTGTGTGCCAACACGATTAAATCTATATTATATAGCAAAACATTGGTTTGCCTTTGAAGTTAAAAGTTTCAATTTATTTTTTTCATAATTTTGAAATTTATGAAATATTAATAGTTTTTGCAGTCAATTTGGATTTTATTAATTTAATATCTCCATCACTGACGCCTGTAAAATGATTTTGACATAACTAGCTCATATATGCATCTCCATAACATTTTACGAATTTTATTAATTGGATTTTTGTTCTCTATAGAATGTTTGGTTTATGAAATTTTTGGACTTCATTCGACTTGTTCGCCAATGACCATTGATGATGCAATACAGTTAATGGTAGATGGGTCGGACTGATCCACGTGCTCCATGGGTCTGCTAACCTTCGTCTTCTAAACGCACACTTGCAAAAGGTCCAATGAGGAGGTACCAGGATTGGAAATGGTTTCTCCCCGTGGACATGTCGATGACTAAATTAGATAGGAAGTGATTGGATGCAATGTATATAGGGAAAGTTGAGAGAGAGAAGAAGAAGAGAGAAGAGAGTATTACTTGTCCTCAAAAACATATTGGAAGTGTCCTTATATCCCTTACTAATTATTTCCTTGTCTGCTCCAAACTGTCTCATTGATCGAAAGTCTATAGCCTAGTTGTCATCGGTCGTGGTGATTTTGCATACTCTGGCGTGAGAGGTCCTACTGCATTAAATGCCATGGCAGCCACATTTAATGGCCAATGTGTGGGCTCAATAACTCTGCAGGATCTTTGTCTGCTACGTGGCTGGCTCCCTCTCTAGTAGGTGTCTAAATGTTATTGGACCTGGGCTAGCATCGACTTGTCATGGCTACTGGGCTTTAATCCGCACAACTGTCTGGGAGTTTGGAACAAAGGTGGATTGGGCCTTCCTGGGCCGTGAGTTGGGCCCACCTAGGTTGTGCCCATCAACCATGATGATTAACAAGTTTATTTGTATAATTTTCAAAATTTGTGTATACGATTTCTCTAAAAAAAAAAAAATTAGATTGCTTGTGAGAACATCTCTCTCTTTTTTTGTGATTTGGTGTGTTCATCCATTTTGTGCATGTCTTAATATAAAGAATCCATTTTGATCTTTTACGATTCTTTGATAATTTATGTTATTGTTGGATTACAATCCATGATTACTTGGATAAAGTTCTTAACTCACAAGTAATTGTAATTGAATGAGTGAAATATCATGTAATTCCTCTCTCAAGTAAAATCCACACTCACAAACAAATAGAAGCCAATCTAAGTCAATGAAAATAAAATGTCTTCACTGATAAGTAGCTTAAATTTGGGAATCAAATCCAAATTAACGTCTTTTATTAATTCTTTCACACCGATGAAAATAAAAATTCTTGACTCATAAGTAGGTGTAATAAAAATCCTACGTAAATCTTGTTAATAATAATAATAATAATAATAAACCCTCTCCTTAGATTTTATATAAATCTTTTCTTAAATATAATTCTTGACTCAAAAGCAATTGTATTTAGGGAGTCAAATCCCATATAAGTATTTCCTTAAGTAAGCTTCTAAACTCACAATTAACAGAAATAAATCTCTTTAACTCACAAATGGCCGTAAATTACCGATAGCCTACCTTTTTAACATAATTATATTGATCTCCCTCAAAATTTTAATTTACATAGTACTTAAACCTATTTTTCATTAGTAATTTATTAGTCATATAAATGAAAAATGATGTTACAATTTCTTTTTTACTAAAATATATATTTATGTTTATTAATTTTAGTGTCTACATATTATTGAATTTAGTTTTGATCGTTCTAATCACACTGGAAAAAAAGAAAAAAGAAAAAGAGATTAATGTAATTAGCTCAAAAGTATAGGGTTGATTATATATTTTTTTATATTTCAGTTTTCAATTGCACTGACTTCTTCTGAGGTTTAATATGAAATGTAGAAACCTCACCTAAGGTTTATGAAATGAAAAAAAATCTCCATTGAAGTTTAGTTTTCAATTATACTGACATCTCCTGAAGTTTAATGAAATCGTAGAAGTCTGCCCTAAGATTTCTAAATTGACAAAAACCCTTATTGAGATTTAGTTTTTTGTTATAGATTATTTTTCTGTTACGTTATCGTAAAAAAAAATTATAATAATAGAAAATGCCGACATCATTAAATAATTTAATTTACCTTTTAAAACTGTATCCAATTACAAAGAGATAAATAAATAAAAAAAAAACCATATATATATAATTCCTATTGGAGTTTTGGATAAAGGAAACATACATAATTAATAGTAACTGCAAGCATTAGAAAGAGAAAAAATAGGAATTGTATTTTTTTTTATTTTTTGTAATCGAACACAATTTTAAAGGGTAAAACTAGAAATGTGATTATTAAAATTATATATGTTTTATTTATTCTGATAAATTTTTAAAAGGTAAATTGAAAATATAATTAAATTGTTTAATGACGTCAATATTTTCTGTTATTTTTTACGATGAAGTAACGAAAGAGAGAATCTATTATAAAAAAAACTAAACCTCAAGGGAGGTTTCTATCATTTTAAAAATCTTAGGAGAAGTTTTCGCAATTTCATTAAACCTCATGAGAAAACAGTGTAATTAAAAACTAAATCTCAAGAGAGGTTTCAGTCATTTCATAAATCTTAAGAGAGGTTTCTACATTTCGTTAAACCTTAAGGAATGTTAGTGCAATTAAAAACTGAACTTTAAGAGAGGTTTAAGTCATTTTAGAAACCTTAGGAAAGTTTTTACAATTTCATCAAATCTCAAGATACCCATTATTAGTATAATTACTTAATTTTTTATGGGGATATATTTTCTGAGTACCAACACGTGGCATGGTGACGCCGACGTGTCAGCCGAGGTGCCACGTGTCGTGGTAGTTATGCCGAGGTTATCTTGGCGAGGCCGAGGTTATCTCCAAAGATATCGGAATCCGAGATAAGCGGATAAGGGACAAGAATCCTAGAGTAAAGTGAAGACTCTGCCAAAGATAAGGATAAAGCTCTTAGGGAGTTTATCTTTATCTCTTGAGGAATCCAAAGTAAGCACTAAATGGGAGTCCATAGAAGTCATGCTTCTAATGGGACTTGGATTGAGTAAACTATAAAAGTGAGGCACCCCCGTGGGTCTAAGGTACGCAGTTTTATACTCAAGCTTGTGAGTTTAGCACTTGATTATCTTTGAGAGATATACTGACTTGATCGTCGGAGTGCCCCCAGGTGGAAGAGCCACCACTGGAGCCTTTTTCTTTCTGTTACAGGTTTGCTAAAGCCATCTATTCTGCCGGTGCTCTCCAGCTATCCCATTAATACAGATCCAACAAATATAGATCTATTTCTATACACTACACAGACAGATCCAACAATCCAACAATCACAAAAGCAAAAAACAAAAAATATTCTATACACAGATCATCAAAAAAAAAAAAAAACAACACATCTATATATATATATATATATGAGAGAGAGAGAGTTGGGATGAGAGGATCTATATTAATGTGCTTGCTCTTTCTTGCCATCAAAACAAATACAGATCTATATATATATTCATCTTCTTCATCATCTTCTTCGTCTCCTTCTTCTCTTCCTCACCCTTCTCTTATCTTTTCTCCTCCTCTCTCAGTTCTACCCGCTCTCTTTCTTTCCTATTTCAAAAAAGAAAGGGAACGAAAATAAAAGGAGAAAAAGAAAAAAAAAATATGAAACCCAAAACGACGTCGTTTTGGGTTTCGAGCCGATTCGAGCCAACAGAATTTCGAGCCCTCAAACATTTTTCAACAAAGACTAACCGTATTCACAATTCAATTTATGATTTTATAGCTACAATTTTGATTTTTGATATAGACTAACCGTACTTCACAATTCAATTTATGATTTTATAGGTACGAATCCAATTAGAAACGAATCGGACCGTTTAGATTATATATAATTTGTTACTGAATATAAATACTAAAATATTTAATTAGTATCAAATATATCTATAAATTAAAACTCTCTACTATTATAAGTATTTTTGTATAGTAATGGAACTAGTTTTGAACAATTGTATTAATAAATTCTTAAGTTGTGAATAATATTTTGTTATTATATTGTGAATAATGATAATATTTAAAAATTCACAATTTCAAACCAAACCAAACTATGGTTAAGTGGTTCAATTTGAGTTGATTCAAAAAATTTCATGGATTCGTTTGGTTCTAAATTTGTTGGAACCATAATTAATGGATTAATCTTGATTTACCACTAAACTGAATTAATCTGAACCATACTCACTTCTAATAGATTTATAAATCCAAAATTTACCCGAAAAGGAATCAGCATTTCAAATGCGTATTAGTGCATCTCCAACATTATTCTTTTTATTATCAAATATGAGTAAAAACTTGATTTGATATCGAGCGTTCCAATAGAGAATTTTAAATTTTCATCAAATGACCGATCAACCAGGAGGACGATTGGAAGGATGTTCGGCCAGTCAACCGGCCAGTGTAAATTGTTCAGTTGCAAAGAAGTGAATGTTTAGGGCACAATCAGCCGGCCGTTTGGTGCTCTTGCACTAATGATTATCTACAGTAATTTGATGAAAGACTCCAAACATCCTCAATTTAATACCAAGTTAATGAAACAAGTAGAGTACCATTTTCATCAACTTTTTATTAAATTTAAATTTGATAAAATTTTACTCATGAATCATATACTTGATCAATTTAATCTCTCCCCTCAACACAAATATATTCTGAATAAATTATGGATTGCATGACAATTTTGAAAAATTTCTCCCGCTGGAGACAAGCAACCAGAACCCTAAACCCCCAATATTGGCATCTTCAACCAAGTAGTCCTCCGTCTTCGCTCGTCCTGGACCATCCGAATATCAAATGCATCTTTCTTTTCCACAATTTGCTAACCTAAACCACTGATCCATCATATCATCTACAGTCATCATTCACAGTTTCGAATAATGTTCTTATAAATAAATTAAAAAAAAAAAAGTGTCTTTAAATTAGTGGTTATGCTGGGTTTGAACCTGATTCCGACAATTTCTTCTCTCTCTCTCTCGCTTTTAATAGATTCGATCCCAGTTATTGCAATGTTTATCAACACAGTGTTGTTGATATCTTTCTTGAATTTGCTGATATCTTTCTTGAATTCTATAAATGTCATCAACAACAATGGCAAGTTCGTTAGAGCAACAGAGACGATTACATGGCTCAACAATTCCCAGATTCAATCGACCACGATGATGTGGCGCTAAAAATTGCCGATGAATCTGGAGACAATTTCGATTTGCTGAAGCAAACTCATGATCCAATTCCAAGACGGACCATAAAATTTTCCGAAATTCAAGATGATGATGATGATGATGATGCTGATGATGATGATGAAGACGACGATGATGATTCGGTTCCTGGAAAGGCAAGGATGTTCATGTCTCGGAGCAAATCGAGGCTTGAAGATCGACACTGTAGATATAAAAGACTGTCGACAACTGACAAGGATTGCAAAGAGGATGACCTGTTCTTGGACGAAGACGAAGATATATTTGGAGAATTCGACTGGAAAGACGCTTTAACAATCGTTCAGTGGGTAAGCCTCTTGTTAATTTTGGTTACATTGGCTTGTACACTTACAATTTCTCACTTGAAGAATCGAAAGCTGTGGGAACTTTATCTATGGAATTGGGAAATTTTGATTCTGGTGCTAATTTGTGGCCATTTGGTCTCTGGTTGGATGATTCGAGCTCTCGTGTTCTTTATTGAGTGCAATTTTATCTTGAAGATTAGGGTTTTGTATTTCGTGTATGGGTTGAGAAAGTCGATTCAGAATTTCTTGTGGTTGGGTCAGGTGTTGTCGGTTTGGCATTTCATTTTAGCTGAAGAGATTGGGAGGGTGACCAAACATGGCGTTTTGCGGTATGTAACCAAGATTTTGGTCTGTCTTTGGGTTGGTGCATTGATATGGCTCTTCAAAACCCTGGTTGTTAAGGTCCTTGCGTCGTCGTTTCATGTGACTGCATTCTTCAATCAAATTCGGTGCTCTTTGTTCAAGCAATATGTGATTAAGAAGCTCTCCGGGTCTCCACTAGCTCAAGAACAGAGTGAACCCGAGATGAAGAATCCCAAGTTATCAAGGAGGGTGTCTAAGAGACAAGATAAGAAGATCACCATTGAACACCTAGAGAAGATGGATCAGAAGAATGTTTCGCCTTTGAGGATGAAGAGGTTGATGAGAGTAGTGCAAAATGGGAGTCTGTCTACTTTGGATGAGGAATTACCTTCATCAACTGACGAGGATGAGGCTTCGCTACGAATTAAAGATGAAAAATCTGCAAAAGCTGCAGCGAAGAAGATATTCCGGAATGTGGTCGACGCAAGGTCCAAGTGAGTCTTTTTCTCTTTGCCTTATTTTTGAACTGGACCAACTCTAATCTCATCTTCATGATAGTGAAACTCAGCTTGTTTTATTTTGTTGATGTGTGTCATGTTACACTCCCATTTATAACGGGTTATTTTATTTATAGATTTGGTGTCCTATTTAGATGGAAGCCAATACACTTCACCGATCCATTTATTTTTGCACTCTGAAAAGAGTTGATTGTGGGATTGCCGATATAAAATCCAAAAAAAATAAAGGAAAAAAATTTGATAACAAGGACTGGATTTTCAAATCATTGGCCGCTTTCATGCATAATTGATTAATGTACTCAATATTAATATTACAGATCAGACACAAGATCCTGAAGGTTTAGCATTACTCCTTCATTAACCTTGTAAACAATCCCCCACCACCACTCCAAAAGAAAAGGATATAAAATTTGAAAACTATGCACCTTATAAACACCTCAAGATGTCCCCAACAATCCCCTTTTTCTTTGACTGTCTGTTGCCCTTGAGGCCTACCCTTATTTGGCTGCTAACAATTTTTTAGGCCCCCAAAGACTTCTGTCTAAATTGATGAAGGGGACTAAATATATATATATATATATGACGGTTTCTGATCATATTTTAAGAACTTTATATAATTCATGTGCACCATTTTTAGCCGAAAAAAGCAGCAACCAGTATCCTTAGTCATCATTATAAGATCATATGACAAAGCTTGCTCTCTTTCTTTAGATATGAATTTATGTCCTATTGTAGATGGAGATGTATATGTGTTGGTGTTATAGATCATATAAACTTGCTGGAATTTAAATATGTGGGAAGATTTTATTATTATTATTATTTTTTTTTATGGATGGGGGTTATTATCTAATCCTTTTCAATGTGGAAAGAAAAGTTTTGGCTTCTGATGTCTTCTCAGTATTGATACGTGGTGGATCTTATTGATTTGCTTTCATTTGGCATCATATCCCTTATCAGTTTCTCTTTGTGTGTAAAAGATACATCTACCTAGACGATTTGATGCGCTTCATGAGTAAAGATCAAGCTTTGAAGACCATGGATCTTTTTAAAGGATCAAATGAAAACAAGGGAATCAACCTGGAATCTCTCACTAAATGGATGGTAAATTTTATGTTTTGAGTTTTTGCATTCACTCTATCAGCCTGAAAGGCTTTTTAAGAACTCTCCTTTTGCGCATGATAAGTAAACTCAGGCTGAGATTTTTTAGGCTCTAGGCGAACTTCTAAAATGGGACCCTTTATACATAATCACAAATAAATAAATAAATAAATAATTGTGGATAAAATGATAATTCTCACAATTATTTTTTTTTAAAGTCTGCTTGCATGTATAATCAGTAAATTTATATATTAAAATATATATATATATAGATTAGGATATGAAGAAAACATTACAAGAACTCAAAAAATAAAAATTTGGTCTTGTTGCTTTTAATTTAAGAAAAAAATTCAGATTACAAGAAGAAAAAAACAAATGCAATCTCAAACTATAATACCAAATAAAAATTAAATCAACTACGACAATGTATCCCTTAAACATTATTCTTTTAGTCTGTTTAGCTACAAAATTACTAATTAGGCTTGCATAACCTAGTTTGTGTACTATATCCTTTTCAATAGATAATATAGCTAATGCATTAAATCTTTCTAATTACATGGCTGATCAAAGATAAGATTATAAGATTGTGGACTTGAATAAGTTGGATTTCCCTCATCTTTCAACCTACTAATACTATACAACTAAACTTATTTGGGGATCTTAAATTTTGTTAAAGTTTGGGGTTCTTGCTTGCCTACCCCCAAGATCGACCCTGAGTAAACTTGCCCCATACGAGTTGTACTTTGCAGAGTGAGGTTCAGAGGTTGAGTGATCAACACTTAAGTTAGCTCTTTGGCATGGATTTTTTTTCTTAAGAAACATAGATATAGACACGAGACGCAGATAAGAGTCGATTTGAGTGTTTGCATAACAATTTTAAAAAACTAGACAGGGACATGATAACAAATATATATATTCGTGAAAGTAATCCTTCTGCCGTCCCAAAATATTAGTCCCTTGTTCCATTTTTCATTGTCCAAAATATTAGTCCATTTTCAAAAAACAAGGACTAAAATAACATGAATTTCCTATTTTGTGCTTCTTTTAAGTTCAGTAATTGTGACAATTGATGTTCGCAAAAAAAAGTCAAAAGGGTTATTTTGAAAAGTTAATATTTTTAAAATGTAATAATTGTACTACCAAGAAAAGTTGGATTCCCTAAAAGGGAATAATATTTTGGGACGGAAGGAGTAATATTTTCTTCATTTTTTGCATTACAAATACATTTATATTTTATATTTTTCACATATTATATATTATAAAAGGAAGTTTGAACAAAAAATCTAAATATCTATTTTAGATGTTTTATTCATAAACAAATTAATATATCTTGGCTTTAGAATTTCTAAATTACAAAAGTCTAGAGGAGGGTAGAATAATCTGAAAAGCACATACACTTCTAAGAAAGTAGAGTGTCATGTTCGACTCTGACATGACATGACATTTGTCACATTTTCAAACACCTATCAGACATATGTCCAAACATATCCTACTATTTTTAACATTTTTGTGGACTTGGATACTCTTTAGACATTTGTGGAGCATGTGTCTATTACTTGAATACACATGAAGCACATTACAAGTTTGAATGGAATAACTTGAAATCCGATAATAAAACAAAAAGTGTAAATTTATACTTATTCTCTTTCTTTAAATTTGAAAATTATTATCTTTGACTTACATATTTATATATGACATTATAATTATTTATCCTTATATATGATATATTATAGAAATATAAAATTATATATTTTGCACGTGTCCCTCACATGTCATCCCCTACATTTTTGAAAATTTGAGTGTTCTGTCACATGTCCAAAGGTTTTAAAGGCAAATGCGTAAATCGAGATGTTTTACCCCTCATGAGGTGAGGCATAAGCATTTTGAATTTTAAAATTTAATATTTAGTAAATAAATTAAATATTTTAAAATAGTGAAAAAATAAATAAATAATTAAATATAAAGGTGTAAAATTACTTTTCTCATTAAGGCATTGAACATTTCACTACAGAGAATGAAGGTTGCTTTTATTGAAAGTGAAATTGACATTCTTAGCTTTAGTAATTGAGCTTTTCACTTGAGCATTAACTTTGTATTATTTATTGGTCATTTACTTAATTTTTTCTATAAAATATAGTCATAAAAGAGGTTCTTTTGTATTTTTTGCCTTTCAATGTTTAAAGGGCAAATTATGCCGATAGTCCCTATGCTTTGATCCTTGTATCATTTTAGTCCCTGTAATTCTAATTGGCTCGATTTTGACCTTGAATTTATGATTTTATCTCAATTTGGTCCACTTGATTAAAATTTTTAGCATTTTCTTATGAAAAATACTCAAATAAGTGGCATGTGACATGCTTTTAAGGGTGAAATTATAATTTTTCTCAACTTGGTAAGTTAATCTCAACCAACTCAATGATCATTTTCATCAAAAACCCTAACGATTTTATTGATTGGACCAAATTGACACAAAATCTAAAATTAAGGATCAAAATTGAGTCAATTGAAAGTATAGGGACCAAAATGACACATTGGGTGAAATGTAATAAGGACTACTAGTGCAATTTGCCCACGTTTAAACTATCTAGTAGACTTGGGCCTTGTTTGGCATAATCGACGATAGTATAAAAACCCAAAAAGTTACTAAAAAAGTTAAAAAGTCCCTACTATTTGGGGGAAGCGTGTGGGGGAAGCCTAGAATTACAATTTTGCCCTTTGAATTCAACAACCCAACAGTGCAGCTCAGTGCTGCAGATTACTTTGCATCTACATTTCCTCAAATGCGATGACGTGGCACAATGTAAGCCATGAATTTCCATTTAAAAAAAAAAAAATTTAAATGCACGGAATGAAAATAGTGTTGCTAAATGTGTCAGGAAGGGTAAAACAGTAATTTTGATATTTGCTGCAATATTTTATTGTACATTTTTTAGTAAAAAGTCAAAAAGTTATCCCAAATATACATCTTTTTTTTTCTCTATTTTTTTAGCCAAAAAGTCAAAAAGTGCACTTATATAGCACATCCCAAACAACCCCAGTTTAACAAGAGTCTAAGGCAATCTTTTCATATGCATATGCAAAAGGCATACAAAGCGCGCCTAAGACGCATGTCTCAGATTGTGATGCGCAAGCCTTTGGGGAGTATAGCCTAAAATTAATGCCTTGATGCATTTTACCTTAGTCTCAAGGTGAGGCGAGCATCAAGGTGAGCCGCAATAAAGCTTTTGAAAACTTTGTCTGTATCCATGCTTCTTAGAGAAATAATTATTATATTCACATTATTTTGATTTTAATCATTGGCTCCTAAGTTATTTTATTGAAACTCATGATTGAGTTTTATGTGTATAAGTAATGGATATGTGTATCCCATATCCACCTAGTGTTTGAAATGTGTTTGGTTCATAAACAGTACACCCAATTCTTTTTAATGGCACTGCGGTGTTCGGATCAAAATCCAACTAGTTCTCAGGGATGCACAGGCCCTCGGCAAGTGCACCATGGTTAATTCAAGGGTTTTCCCCCCAGTCCGATGGTCCCAAGGAATTGTTAGCACCTATGAAGCATGGGTACTTCAAAAAAAACAAGCCGTACCCGTACTGGATACCTACCGGCATACGGTGCTTTATATAGTACTTCTGCATACATACCGGGTACACGAAACACGTATGTAAATTTTTTCTTCTTAATTTTTGGCAAACCCAGACGTACTTACTATATATCCAAGTTGGGCTTATTCTAAGTCCAACCAAAATGAAGATAGCTGCAGTACAAATGGATTTCTTAGGTTCCACCATTGGGCATGGAGAAATCAAATTACAAGGCAAGCATATAAGACGCCAAACGACTTTAAGAAAAATCCCAACAGCTTTTCTCAGTGGAACTGAGTAGTGATTGAAGTGGGATATGACTGACACACACATCCATTATTAAAGCATTCGAACATAGACCTGATCTAGTTGCCAGATGAAGGTAGTCATTTAAGAATTTGATGATGTCTTTAACATCTTTGCATGCCAGTCTTTCGAGATCTCTGTAGTACCATACCTCAGTTGAAACAATATTTTCTTCTACTACAAAAATAAAACTCCTTTCACTAGACTTTTTTTTTTTAATTTTTAGTTTTATGCTTAGCATGTTTTTTAAATTAAATTATGGTTTGTAAATTATTTAATATATTGACATTTAATTTTGATTTATACCTTTACTTTTGGCATTAAATGTTAATTGTAGGTTGGATCTTAACAAATTAAACCATTTAATTAATTTTTGTATTACTCTAAATTAAAAATAAATATTTTTGTACAAGGGTACCAAGCTGTACTCATGCCCTATTTTTTTTGGATTTTACTGTATCGACGTACCTGTATTGTACTAGTACAAGTATTACCTGTACTAGTATGAGTATTGTACCCGTACCCGTGCTTCATAGGTTAGCACGCAAGAGGTTTCGATCCCTGAACCTTGGAGGGAGCACACCCCCAAGACCCAATGCCTTGCCACAAGGTTTACCCCTCGGGGTTTAAAAGGTACACCTAATTTAATCCCCGTTAAATTTAAAAAAAAATAATAAGACACATTTAGACATGTATTCGACGCATGGTAGAGTGTAACATATTGTAGATGTAAGATACATGTTCAACACAGACACAACACCTTCTTAGAAGTGTTCGTACTTCTTAAGGTTTTATATTTTTTTATGTTATGCTCTTCTAAAAATGATATAATTATATTTATTTTCTTTTCTCTTATTTATTTATTTATTTTCTCTTCCCTTGAAAGGTTGATGCATTTAAAGAAAGGAGGTCTCTTGCATTGTCTCTAGATGATACAAAAACAGCAGTGGATGAACTTCACAACATATTGAATGTCATTGTAACCATCATCATTGTGATAATCTGGCTTTTCATATTTGATATTGCCATATCCCATTTTCTTGTGCTGGTTGGCTCCCAGCTTCTTTTGGCAGTGTTCATCTTTGGGGACACGTGCAAGAGAATATTTGAGGCAATTACATTCTTATTTGTGATGCACCCATTTGATGTGGGTGACCGTTGTGAAGTTGATGGAGTGCAGGTAAACAATTACTAATTTTGTTTATTTTGTGAGACATTTTTCTTCTTTTTATTGCATGCTTTTCTATTTTATGTTAAGGAGTCTAACTTTTATTTCTTTGGATTTCAGATGGTAGTTGAAGAGATGAACATATTAACTACAGTGTTTCTAAGATACGATAATCAGATGATTATATACCCGAATAGTGTTCTAGCAACAAAGCCCATAAGTAATTACTTCCGTAGTCCAGACATGTTAGATTCAGTTGAATTCTCTATTCACATCTCGACTCCAATGGAAAAGATCGCCAGTATGAGGAAAAGCATAATAAGGTATCTTTCGAAATCTTAATTCTTTACCATTATTTTATGTTGTCTTCTTTCCATCTTGTGTGTGGCTTAATCTTTGGAATGTTGAAGGTTTGTTCTTACATTTCCGGCAACATTATACATTATAGGAACAAACTGATTGAACTTCAGCATTCTGAAATAATTCAATGAATGCGTCATTCTGCTCATGTTTTTCGAACGTTACAAATAACTCTCATCAATGACTATATACAATTCTTAGAGAGACTTCAAAATTTGAAATTCCTCCTACAATCAAATTTCCAGTGTAATTTTAAGTTTACATTTAATTTTGTTTCTCCATAAGCATAACTACGAGTGAAGAAAGAAGAAAAAAATGATTTGAAGTAGACCTGTTCGGATTGGGATGTTTTCTTAATCGTCATCTTTCTGTATTCTAATTCACCTAATAAAAATGGACTTAAAACTTTTCGGGGGTATGTCCTGCCAATTTACCACCCTGTAACCATCCAACTTGTTTTAATTTCTAATTGTTGTATGATTTTTTAATAATATGATAAATTCCATAAAATAATTTTGATTTTATAGTTATCCAGGAAAAAATATACTTTTAATTAAGTAATTTTTATTTCGTGGACTTTAGGATAGGCAGTTGCATACCATTAATTAGACACTTGTATATCTTCATTTGATTAAGATGTTTTCTTTGAAGCCTATTTACTTGCTATTTCTATTACATTGGATGGCAATTCCAGCATTTGTGCCGAAATAAATTGAAGTTGGCTAACCTTCTTTTTTCCATCAAAATGCTTGATAAGCTGAAAATTCTGAAATTGATACTCACCTTTTTCTTTTTCTTTTTTCTTTTTTCTTTTTTTCCCCTTCTTTTTTGTCATTGACTTCTTGCTGTGGGCATGCATTATTTATCAGTTACATTGATGAAAGGAGTGATCACTGGCACGAGGCTCCAACTGTACTGATAACAGATGTGGAGGACATGAACAGAGTAAAGATGGTGGTGTGGGTTAAACACAGAATGAACTTTCAGCATATGGGTGAGAGGTGGGTTAGGAGGGCTTTACTGGTTGAGAAGATGATCAAAGTGTTCCGGGAACTTGACATTGAATACCGTATGTTGCCTCTTTACATGAATGTCCGATACATGCCTGCAGTGACGTCAGACAGGCTTCCGACAACCTGTTCTGGCTGATTGTACATTGAGATCTTAGCAGCAGTGCTCTCTCTCCCCTCTTTGGAACGATGCAAAAGTAAATGAGAATTGTTGAGGTTGATGACATGATTTGCCCATGAAATGTTAGCCTTATAACAAGGTTATTTATTTTATACTATTTTTATTAGGTCACTCGGGTGAAAAATCCAATCCTGTATTTTCTATGCTCAAAAGTCCACATGCTATTTTATTATGTCCATAAGGACAAATTGAAATGACAAAAATACCCATGTATATATATACATCGTTCACAAATCAAACCCTAACCAAACTATTTTCTCTCTCTCGTTTCTCTTTCTCCGGTTCCACAGCTCTCTACTCTCTCTCTCTCTCTCTCTCTCTCTCTCTCTCTTCACCCTCTACTGCCGCCACCACTGTTACTTTCTCGTTGCACGATCTCTTCACGATTGCCGCCACGCAACTCTATTGCCATCTTTCTCAATCGATCACTGTCGTAGCTCTATCGATCAATAGATCTTGCGAATCGCACTCTACCACCACCACCGCTATCAACAACATCTGCCGTAGCACCAGCTTCGACTCCTCTTAATTTGGCAGTGTCGATGTTGTTCTTCATCTACTCCTCACTCGTTGGCACCACCGATATCTATCGCAGCACCAGGCTCATCGTTTCCACTCCTATCACTGCCGTGTCGGTCTCTGATCTCATATCACTCGCTCTTTCTCTCTCCGATCTCAGATCTGCGACAATGCCTTGATGTTGGTTGTAGCTTCGGCGACTCTAAGGTTGAATCGTCGTCGAAAGAAATGTTACTTTTCAATCGCACCATCGACGATCAAGTTGTGCTAATTATAAACAATGTTAAACCCTAAAAAACTCATAAAAGACTTCTCTCTCTCTCTGTCTCTATATATATATATATGGTCTTTTTGTCTATTGCTTTTGAAGATGAACCCTAAGCTTCTTGTGAAATCAAAACCAGACAAAGGCCAAAGCTTCCTCTCTTTTTTTGTTTGTTTGTTTGTTGTTGTTGATGTTGATGATGATTGCAACAGATAGAACAAATCATGAATAGATTTGTTCAAATTTTGAACAGATAATAGAATTTGAACAAATAATATGATATATTGAACAAATAGTCAAAAAATTTGAACAGATAGGTTTATATTTTGAACATATATGAAAAAATGAACATACAAGAGAAAAAAAAAATTAACAGATAGATATAAATTTGAACAAATAATTAAAAATTTTGAACACAGAGAATTTTTTTTTTTGAATAGATAGATATAAATTTAAACAGATAGTCAAAAAAGTCAAACGGATAAAAAAAAGTCAACAGATAAATCAAGGCAAAATTGAAAATAAAATGTCTTCCAAAACCAACAAAAGGATATTTCACCAAACTATTTCACAAATGGTGGACCTATTACCAATAAAAAAATATCCCCTGAATCTAATACCTTATACTTTTCTTAAATTGTATTTACCACACATTTTTTCTTTTTATTATTTATTATTATTTGGGTGGAATCTCTCCGAGGATAATGGGTAAGTTAGGACATTTGTTAGTAGAATCTAATCTAACATAAAAGGTGTTGCTAAGTACATTTACAATTTATTGATTTTTGTTTACATAAAACATTAAACATGTTTTTTTTGTAAAAACGAAAATTAAAAAAAAAATGGTTGCATAATTCAAGTTATATGGATTATAGTTTTTCTGTTTATTTTTTTCATTTGGTGAAGTAGGCTTTAAAAAAATAAAAATAAAATAAAGATTATGGTTTCACTTAACTGAGAAAAGAAAATATTAGTCTCTCATCATTTTATTTAAATAAACAAGAATTAAAAGAAAATACATGTATCTTTATTTTACTTGTTCTATATTTATATTTGGATTGACATTTAAGTATTATAAAAAAAAAATTATATACAACAATTTTCGTTTCTAAGCAAGCTTTATTAATTTTACTAATAAACAAAACATTAATTTCCCAACTAAAAAAAACAAAACATGAGTTTTTTTGTTATGAAACAAAATATGAATTTTAAGAATATTTTTTTTTCTCTTAATTTCTCATTTTCATTTTTTTTCCTCTCAAATTTTCACCTTCTCAATCAAGCGATGAAATTTGTTTACTTCTAATTCTTTTTTTTTTTTTGTTCTCACTAAAACCTTTCAAACGGAATGATGTTTTGTAAAACGTTTAATTCAAAGCGCCAGGGAACTTAGGAAAGAAAATAAATGATTAAATAAGGAGATAAAAGAGAAGAAGAGAAAAAATTCTGACTTCTCTCTAAAAATAAAATTAAAAAAAAAATCATTATTTCTCTATTTTGTTTGGTTAAATTTAAAAAAAAAATTAAACAGATAAATTATTTCATGCTATGTATTAAAATAACCTTTCATAAGTGGGGTTTTTTTATTTATTTTTTATTTTTTATAATATCTATGTATTAATACAAATTCTCACTTCATCTTTTGAAAATTACACTAAATCTTTTGTCAGAATTTTTTTTTTTTTTTTTTTTTTTTTTTTTTGGGTACATGTAGATAACTTTGGACGAAGATAATGGATTTGTTGGATGAAAAATATTAGGGACCCCAAATATTTTACGAATTATTCTACCAAATGTCTTATATGGGTGTAGTACCATATGTGACTTACATAATGTGGGTCTTATACTTATATGAGACATTTGGTAGAACATTTGATAAATCATTTGAGGTCCCTAGCATTATTGTTGTTGGACATGGGTCTTGTTACGTGGGGTTTGAGATCTTCTTGGTTGGTGGTATTCATCAAAAGGCACTAAATTTATCTAGGGGTGTAAATTTCGCCCGACCCACCAGGGTCCAGGCCCGAGCTGGCCTATGTTGGGCTTCGCGAGTTTCCTCCAAAATTCAGGCCGACTCGGCCCGGCCCATGAGCCAGAAAATTAGGCCTAGGCTCATAGGTATTTAGGCCTTAGACAGGCCGGTGGACCAAGTCTCAGGTCTGGGCTCGAGCTTGGGGCGGGCCTGAACAAAATTTTTTGTTTGTTTATATTTTTTCTACCAAAATTTATTATTTTTCACTAAAAAAACAATGGGCCTCAAGCCAGGCCTTAAGTGGGCCGATAAATCAGGCAACGGGCCGGTCAAGACTTCAAAACAATGGCCCAAGCCTTGGCTTAGGGTCTCAGGCTGGGCTTGAACCCGAGCCTAAACGTGTCGGGCCTCCCACAAACCATTTTTACACTCCCAAATTTATCCTATTTAAAACTTTGTTGAATTTGTCAAAGATATCTTTCATTTCAAATAGAATAATATTAGGGATCATGAATTTGTCTTATTTATTAATTAACTCTATTTATTAATTTTTTAAAATATTTCTTTTATAAATATTTTTCAAAAACTGAAACCAAACACATTAATTACTCTTCCAAATATTGTTGGGTTTGTCCTTATTGTTGAGACTTGTTCCCATTTGAAGAGATCATGGCCGTAAAAGAGAGAACTGGGTTTGATAGTTTAAGGGTAAATTTGGTATTTTGAGAAAAATTGTTGCTTATATCATCAGAATCTATTAGTTGACTTAACATAGGATTAACAAAAGGGAACAATTGTAATGTGATTTAAAACCTTGAGAGGTGGAGTCTAATTTTGCAAATGTGAATCACCCAATCCAAGGGGTGTTAAGCTAAGCATAAGCTGCTTCCAAATCAAATCAGTGAGTGGAACAAGATGGTGAGATTAAACCTGTAAGGAAGAGGGCAGTCATATTGTCTTTGCGGCGGCGGTGGGCTCATTTCATCTTCTTCAAATCGGCAAGTTTTCAGCCCTTCGACTACCCAGTTTGTTTCTACAATATCTGGTATTAATTAACTGGTGTATATTATGCGCATCTCTTGTTTGATAATATGCTTGACTGGAAATTACTTCTTAATTGTATCAGAAAAACCCAAAATAGGAGGTGGGAAAATTATTTTCTTGCAAAAACTTTTCAGTGAAAACATTTTACAAAGTATTTACCTCCAACAAATGGAGATTCTAAAAAAGATTTTAACTTTTCAAAAACTTAGTTAGATATAAGGCCTGATTTTGATGTTTTGTTTGAGGCCTCCAAAAACTTTACCTAGTGGCAGAACCGCATTGAGTTGAAATCTTTGGAAAAATACAAACCAATTGAACCCTATTTTTACTTGATGGCAACTGATCACTTTTCTTTTCGTTTTTTGTTATTAATTTGATTGATTGTGTGATGATCATTATAGTTTAAAAAGCAATCACATATCTCCGTAAAATACGAGAACAAAATTGTATCTACACACACAAAGAGATATAGAGGGGTAAAGAAAGAAATGGGAGAAAAAGGTGAAGAAATAATGTAAAATTTATAGGAGAATATTTAGTATAATTGAACATTTAAAGTGACAAATTGTAGGTATGTTGTTGAAAAGAAAAAGTAAAGGAAAGAGGAGGTAAAAAAATTTAGGAGAATTTTCAAAGAAACAAATAAAAATTAAGAATTTTTTTTACTAGAGGTGAAATTGTAATTTAAAAAAAAATTGAGGGGGACACTTGGTCCTCATGTGGCTCCGCCCCTATATAGAACGCAAATACAGCACTTATTATCGCTGCAACAGTTGAAGTTGAATGAATGACTTATAAGGTGTACTAGCATTTACTCAATTGAAATTTCAGTTGGCAATATAAAAATTCATCTAAGTACATAGCTTGTTGGAGAGATGGAGGCATCTGTGACTGGGGGCAAGGAGGAGGACAACAAAAACAACAATGTGGCAACAGGGTACAGCAGCAACAATGTCAAGAAGGCAAGATTGCAGTCAACAATGGCCACCCTCCTTAATGATCCTATCCTCACAGACGTACCAAAGAAACCAACACTATCGGATGTCGATAATCTCATCAGTTTGGAGCTTGGCAGCGCCATGCGCATTTCCATCCTTAAATTAGATGGCACTTCCCTCGGTACTTCAAACAAACACACGTGCACACACACATACTCTCGCTCTCTCTCTCTATTAGTCATTTTGACAAACATTTAACTTACGTGTGTACTAATGATTTTCAATTGGTTGGATTTCCATTTGATGAAGATGTGGTGGTGATGAATTCTACGAATGTGAAGGATTTGAAAATGGCAATAAAGAGGAAAACTAATGACATGGAGCAGTCCAAGATGGGTCATCGGCACATTTCTTGGTATGTCTATTTATATATAATTTTGGATGTCAATGTTCAAATCAAAGTTTTTAAAAGCGAATGCATAATGCGAGGCGTTTAATCCTTCGTGAGGTGAGACGTAAGCTGTGTTACATAGACTCTTCTATTTCCCTCATAGTGCCCGTATCCACCGGATATGACATGGGTAATGGTGTGAGATATGTGTTTGACATCCATATCCAATTTAGACACTAAGATCCTTTAATTTGTGACAATATATGAAGAAGAAGAAACTCACATTTGTATATTTTAAGCTTCTCACATGAATTAGATATAGAAACTTCATATTTTTCCTAAATCTTATTTAATTTCTAGTATATTTCTACATAATTTACAACATCTCACCCGAGAATATTATATAATATACAATATATATGTGCATATAACGTATCTCTATACCGATATTCAATTTTGGATACGTATCCCAATTAGGAATGGTAACGGGCCGGGGCGGAGTGAGGCCTGGGATTACACTCCCCGTCCCCAATCCCCGAAGATATAAAATTCCCCGTCCGCGATTCCCGACGGGGAACCCATCACCCCCCCACCCCCGTACGGGGATTGGGTTTCCCTAGCTCCGAAAAATCCCCGACCCAAGTATTTGATCCTCATTTTGGTCGATTGTCTCTCTCCAGTCCACATCCAACATGATATCTCTGCAACCCAGTTTTTGATTCATTCCAATTTCAGTGGAGAAGAGCCCATTGAATCAAAATCAAAGCTCAAAAAAAACCCAAACGACAACAAATCTTTGCAGATCTAAATTATTACAGACCTGTTCAATGCTATTATAGATCTGTTTCATCATCAACAACAACATTCATCATCAAGAAGAAGAATAAGAACCAGAACAGATCAACGACTACCGAAAAAAAAAAAAAAATCAACAAGTACATGAATTAAAGGCCATTCAGATTTGGTTATGATGGCGGCAAATCGGTGTGGATCGAGGGCAGATCTAGAGAGAGATTGGTGTGGATGAAAGCAGAGAGTGAGTGATGGCAGATTTGTGGTAGCACGTAGCTCTCAGACAACGGCAAGGCTGCAAGCTCTATGATTGGAGACAGCAACGTTGACAGCAGCGATGATAAAGACAGCGATGATGGTAGCGACTGACGCTAAGATCAACAAGAGTCGGCGATAGAGGGTGGCGGAGGAGGCGAACTTGAGTGTGAGCGAGAGTCGGCGATTGATTCAGATTTGCATAGATTTGTTCTGAGATTGACGGCGATCTGATGCCTAGTTTTGCCATGAAAGCTTTTAAAGAGAGAAAACTAGGGCTTGTGTGAAAGAGAGAAAGCGGAAAAGGGAAAGGCATCGTAGTCAGCGTGATGTTCTTGAGGCAACGGTGAGTGACGTGAGATTGAAGGAGAGAGAGAAATCTGAGTAAGAGGAAGAGAGAGATGAGAGACGGTTTGCGTGTGAGGTTGTGTTAGGGTTTGGTTTATATATATATAGAGGGGTATAATAGTAATTTCAGTTCGGAGAAATGGGGATGAGCCGAGGCTGGGGAGTGTATCACGGTCCTCGGCCCAAAAATTGTTGGGAATTCATTTTTGAATACCATCCCCGGCCCCTCGGGGGTATTTTTCAGGAAAAAATCGTTCTAATCGGGGTCGCAGGGTCGGGTCCCCTATCGGGTCGGGTTCAAATTGCCATCCCTAATTCCAATATCCTAAGATTTAAATTTATGAAGGTCTGACACTTGGATACAAACCCGCACCAGATACTCTTACCCGAGTTCATGTAACATAGGGCGTAAGCCTTGAGCCTTTGAGGCATAAGCATTCGAATTATGAATTTTTATATTTATTAAATAAATTAAATATTTTTAAATAGCAAAAAAAAAATTAAAAATGATTATGAAGGTGTAAATACTTTTCTCCTCAAGGCCTCAAACATTTCAATGCAAAGAAGTAAGCTTGCCCTCGTTGAAAGTGAATCGGCAGTCTTAGCTTAGATTATTGAGCTTTTCACTTGAGCCTTAATTTTGTTTTGTTTTGTTTTGTGTTTTCTTGATTGGTCATTTATTTGATTTTTCTTATGGAATATAGTTGCAAAAGAGGATTTTTTTTTTTTAATGTCTAAATCATCTACCAGACTAATTTTATCTAAAGCCCGAGATAGATAGGCTATTATTTATATGCGTACTCATCATAAGTTTTTGCGCAAAAGGCGTACAAGGCGCTCTTGAAGCTCACGCCTCAGACTGTGTGATGTACGAGCCTTTGGAGAGTATCACCCAAAAATTGAAGCTTCGCTGCTTTTTGCCTTAGCCTCACCTCGAGGAGAAAATCGAAGTGAATCTCAGTAAAGCCCTTTAAAACTTTGGTTAAAATTTAATTGTAATACAGAATCACTATGAGACCACCTTTGCAATTTTCTTTAGTTGACATATGAGAACTTTCTATAGCTTATGTTGTGCTAACTACTAACATTTTGGTTCATTGAATGGTATAACGTACTGTAGATGTATTCAGCTAATGAGATTGTGCTTGTGATATGGCAACAATTTTTCTGGACATGATCTAGTTGCTGTTTGAACTGGTGAATCAAGAAGACGACAACCCATTTATGACTCTGAATATTTATCTTTTGCTTCACATGAATTTAAACTGATTTTCATTTATGCAAATTAATGTTTAAAAAGCAAAAAAAATTATGCAAATTAATCATTGAGAGCTACTCTTGATTTCCAAGAAAAAAAAAAAATTGAAATTGGTTTTTAGAATTTTCCTTACACTGCACAATTCCTAACATGTAAACTAATTTTGAAGTTTTTTCTTCTTTTTCTAATTATTGGTACTTATTATAATAAAGCTCGATCTTGAATTTCATTTCTAATACTGTATTTCCTGGTTATGCTAGTTATAGATCACTTATTTTTGAATTTACAGGAAGCATGTTTGGGCAAACTTTTGTCTCTCGTACCATAATGAGAAGTTACTTGATGACAACTCTGCCCTTCAGGATTATGGCATTCGTAACAATTCTCAGGTATGGGTTCTGTTCTTTCTCACTTTCACAAAGTTGTGTTACTTATGAGTTCTTTCCTGCCGTCTGACCACGAGCTCTTTTATTTGTTCGGTAGAGATCATTATTTTTATATGGACGATGCTTTAAGCACAAGGCATTATGCAGATTCCATTATGATTCTCTCAAATACCAATTTGAACATTCCCAAAAAATTGAATGATGGTTTTAGATTTTCTAAATCATTCCATGTTAGAAACCGTTCACCACTAATGGCACCACTTCAACATAGGCCAATCATATCAATGATGGAAGGGAAACCTGAAACTGAGTCTTCATCTGATATTTAGAGATGGCAATTTGACCCGCCCCGACGGGGACCCGACCTCGATTAGAATGGTTTTTTCCTAAAAAATACCCCCGACGGGCCGGGGATTGTATTCGAAAATAAATCCCCGATAATTGTTAGACCGGGGACGGTGATATATTTTTCAACCCCGGCCCGACTCCGTCCCCGTCCCCGTCCCCGACCCCGTTTCCCCTCGAGCTGAAATTACATATAAACCCCCTATATCTATTCATATATATATATATACCTAACCCTATATCCACCGAATCAGTGAGAGTGAGAGAGAGAGAGAGAGAGAGCAAAGGGAGGCAGCGACCGTCGCCTTCTCGTTCGCGCCACCGCAGCAATCGTCTCCGTCGCCTCCTTCTCCTCTCTTCTCTCTCCACCACGGCAGATCTCTCTCTCAAATTGATCTCTCTCTCTCTCTCTCTCTCTACTCAGATCCCTCTGTGTGTGTGATATTGATGATGTTGTTGTTGATGTTGTTTGATGATGATGTTGTTGCTCAGATCTCTCTCAGATCTCTCTTTCTACTTGGATCTCTGTATGTGTGATGTTGATGATGATGTTGCTTAGATTTATTTTTATTTTTTTTTGGTCCGGGGGATTTTTGGGGTTGGGGAAACCCGATCCCCGTTAGGGGCGGGGATGGGGACAGTGATAGGTTTCCCGTCGAGAATCGTGGATGGGGCCGATGAAGTTTTCATCATCGGGGATTGGGGACAGGGAGTGTGTGCCCCGGCCCCGCCCTGGCCCATTGCCATCCCTACTGATATTCATGTGCACAGGCACAGGTAGTAACATGGATATGGACATGAGATACGATGATTTTGAAAAACAATTAGAATACAAACACGGTGAAAATACAATACTTCTATGCCATCAATTGTAGCAAATCCTTACGCTTGTGTTGCTTTAAGAATGGTGGATATTTTGTCTTACGTGTCCCCTATTTCCATGTTTTATAATCAAACAAAATTTAACATTTTAATCTTTCTTTTCCTCATTTGGGTTATTATGTCTTTCTAATTAAAAATCAAACAAAACAAGCGCAATGAAATTCCCTTCCCGAGTCATTTATAAGTCATTTAGTTTTTATATTTCTACAACGGATATATTATGATGTAGGTGCAATTTGTTCCTTACGTCATGTCGAGGACTTCTCAAAGACATTCAAGGAGGAAGAGAAAACACAGTTTCTTTCACGGTCTCAACAAAATTGCCTAAAAACCAATGTTCACTTCACCTCAAGATGTTGCATCCTATAGCTGATAGCCGATTTTTCCTACATATGTGGGCAAAGATCCCCGGTGTGAGAGGCAAGGTAGATAGGCTTTTCATGTTCATTGTTTATATAAAATTTCGACATTGTATTGACATAATTGTTTGACAAAATATTACTCGGAACTTTTTCATTTGCAGCATTCAATGTCCAATGAAAAATAATAACCTTTTTTCTTTATAGGATTAGAAGGAAATATTCTATGCGGCAGAATGAAACTAGTAGATGTAATGATTTTACAAGAGGTCGACCAAATTGTAGGAAACACTTGCACATTTCAAATGCCACACTGCAATTTCACAAAAATAAATCCCATAAAATATAATTTGAATTTTCGAAAATTATTTGTCCCAAATAATGAGGTTTTCATTTATTTTACCAAACTAATTTTCAAAAAAAATTCAAAAAACTCAACCAAACAGCCCTTTTGGACCCCCAGAAACATGGCAGATTCAATAAAACTATAGTACTCTACTCCCTACCCCCGGACCAACAGCCAAAACTTGTTTGAGCAACTATTTGCCATACCTTTTCTTTTTCTTTTCAAGAAAAAAGAGAGAAACTAATTACCAAAAAAAAAAAAAAAAACACAGAAAAAAAAAAAAAATACAATCAAACAAGCTTAGCCATGGCCCCAAGACAAACTATTGAAGAGTAAGAATTGTAGGGCTGTTACCCTGGATTAGAGGGAGCCCTTCCAGAAATTCTCAAAGGCCAGAGCTGAACACAGGCCTAAGAGGGGTTTTGGAAATAGTTTTCAACCAGCAATTGACGTGCCTCGGTCAGAGCCTCACTAGCTACGTCACTGCCCCAAGTGCAAAGATAAATTTAACACTTTCACTTCCTACTCATGTGGATCACCCATACCATCTCTCTTTTCTATCTTGGTTGGTGTGGGACTAAAAGTTTCCAACTCTTGGCAGCGTTTGGACAAGCCTCTGAAACATGATTCCACCCCTTCTCCTGAACTATTTGTTTGGATGGTGTTCAAAAATTAATTCCATCACAATTTTCAAAATACACTAGTGTTTTGAAACAGTTTGCAAGCCAAAACTTTCTCTTGTTCATACATATGCTTAGATTCGTCTTCTCCATTTTGAAAATTCATGTGCCAAAGAAAAGCAAAGCTGATGCTTCACGAGTGGGCTGCAGCTCTAAAATTACTTCCTTCTCTCTTTGAACGATTCTCTGACCTTCAAATCCAAACAATGTCTGTGAACCAATTCTTTCCCACCCATAAATTGGCATCAACGAGCTCCCACAAATCAAGTGATGGTCAATTTGTGCGTTGTGGTCGATTCACCCTCTAAGCATCGAAACAACGACAACAGAGAGGTATAGTGTTCATAAATTTCTATACAAAAATATATATGGGTTCTGCAACTGATTAATTCTGTGCTTACTTTCGAAATGTGTTTGTTGTAAGTCAAAGTTGTGAAGCCTTTTCTCGAATCAGAAGGCTATAGCATCATGTTTTTTTTTTTTTTTTTTTTGCTTTTATCGGAACTGAGACGCTGAAGATGACTCGCGGGAGGGGCCATGGCTGTGCAGGACAAGTTTGTAGGTACATGGGTACATAGGGTTTGGTTAAGAGTGTTCATGGGTTTGGTTCAGTCATTAGGCACAATAATATACCTACTGAAGGTACATAAGGTTCACGGGTTTCCCACAATGGAAATAGGTCTACGGCTTCCCACGAAATTGATGAAATGTAGCAAATGAAAAAATTCTAACAATATTGCACGTGTTGGTACTCAGAAAATATATCCCCACAACTGCCCCCTAAGTTCTATTACCTTGGCATTCTGAGGTGATGGAACCTACACTGTTCGTTCATCTATGCCCCTCTGTTCGAGATCAAACTCGCCGACCTCAAAGTTCCCTGGACTTTACTGTCCACTGGTGTCAAGAATCAAGTTTCATGCTTTCCAAGCTGCTTGAAATCGCACCTCCTAGTCGAGGTTCTGGTTCCATTAATTCGTAAACTCCAAGAGCTTTGCAACTGCTCCACTCACACTCTCTGGTGAGTTCCCGATTTCCAGTCATCTATTTGACTCTGGCGATTTTCATATCGGCGTTCATTTCACTTTATAGGTTCATAAACTCTTTACTTGCTATTAAGCTCAATCTTTCATAACTCTTCTGAATCTGTTTACTTGCCATCTGTTGCCTTCTATTTTCGTCTGTCTTCAAGTTTTGAATTGTTTGAATGCCTGACACTGTTCTTGTCATATCCGCTTTCTGATGCTAGCATCGTGTCTGGGTCATTACTTTATTGTTCTTCACATACTTACTTAATGCCTGTGCACTTGGCTTTATTCTTGAACTTTGCTGTCTTCTTGACTATTTTTCTCTTTTTTTATTCAATCCTCTGGCTTTTTCTCTTTCTAGCTCTTTTGCTTAAATCTGTCATCGTGTTTCTCTCCTCCGGTGAAGCTTACGTCATTCTGTCATTGTCGTCAGACTTCGGCAATTCTCATTCCGGCTTCCCTCTTTCTGGTAAGCCACTGTTCCTTCTGGTTGTTGCTTTCCAAGAAGCTCTGCGTCATTGTTAATTACCATTGCTGTTTACCCGTTATTTCCAAATCATCTTCTTGAATACACACTGTTCACACATCTGTTGATTTCTGCCACTGTTCTTGGCTTGACACATTTGTGCAATCTTTTTGTCTTGATTTCCTAATAACTTCATCACCATTCTTGATTACGAATTACATGCTTGTTTATGTTTTCTGTGTCTTTTTTCAGATTCTTGCTTTCAATCCTTGCCTTCAAACTCCGAGGTGCCAATCGCCGAGAAGAGCCTTGATCAAACTCTTCGGGAGATCGATGCTGAGCTCGAGGCGGAGAAGGCTGCTGAGAAGTCTTCCCAACTGTCTTCTTTATCCTGCCATTGATGCCGAGTAGTTTTGTTTCCTTCTTTTACTCCTTGTACCTTGTACCTTGTACTTTGTCCGTCTTTGTATGCTTTTAATCCGGCCGACGTGCCATTTTTGTAGTCTGAATAATTTATTTTTCAATATTCAGGCCGAAGTGCCTTCTTTCTTCTTTAAATGCATTTCTCTAATTTCTTCTTTGAATGTATGTCTTCTTTTTTCTGCTCTTGTATGATTCTACACTTAGAATAATTTGCATGTCATTAGTAAGACCCACCATCCTGCAAAAAAAATAAAGTTAGTATTATTTAATCATAAGCAACTTGCTAAAGAAGTATAAAAATGTATCGTTTCATACTTAAATAATTCGAATTGATCAAAACTTAAAGAACAAAAGTTGTACAGAATCAAATTTCCTAAAAGATAAAGAGAACGAATTTAGTAGAAACTGAACAGGTTGAGAGAAAAACTTGATAGAAGAACCTAGATGGATTTTAATCGAAAAATCTAAAACTGAAAACGAATAGAAACTATCCTAAGATGATTTGTTTTGGAAAAGTTCAAAACATAAAAAGCGTGCAGAATAATGTTTTACTCCAGTTTACTCGAAACCAATAAAAATGAGTTTGTTTCGTAGATTAAAACAGCTTCTAAAATCTGCATTGCTAAAACGAATCAAAACTACAATAACCAAGATCATCCGATTGTAAGTTCTAATCAATATTTTTAATAAAAAGTTAAAATATAAAAGTTATCTAGAATCGCGTATATATGCCTCTGCTCAAATTTCATAATTTATTCAGATCGTTTACTATTTTTCAACCAATACAAATCGATACAATACATACTATAATAATAAACTTATAATTAAATTCTTTGTACCGTAACTCCATCGCTTCGATCTCCACTTCCGACCTACACATTTATCCCATGTGCCTTCTGTATACCTAACACCGCTCCGAAGCCAAACTTGCACGGGGATATCATTCCGAGTTTGACTCACACTTCCCGAATGATTAGCATATACGTACGCGCATAAATCAAAGCATTCGTCTATTCATGAAAACGAGACAACAATATAAATATACAAAACATCTCACTCATGAGAACAATCATAACATTGCCAAGCCTAAGGCATTCAAATAAATCTCATAATCCTCACTTTTTTTATACACTATTTCTCACCAATACTCAATTAAAACAACAATCCATGGAGTCATGGTGGAGTATAAGGAATTTATCTATGGGTTCCTTATTAATTTAATTTCATATAACCATGAATGTGATTATAACCACAAAATAAATCCATATAAAAACCCTAAACCTGGCATACACAACTAATCAAAATAATTAAAATCAATCAATCATCTAAAAA